AAAGAAAAGCAGAAAAACATTTAGATTGTTTATAGTCAAAGGAGAATGAAGATCTGAAAGAGTATTCAGATAATTTAGGGCAAAGCAAATCTTTGTCCTAAAATACTCAGCAGAGGGCAAAAACTTTTAGAGTAAATATTTTTAGGTAAATTTTTTTTTTAGTTTTTCTCCGATTATAAGATATGTGAATTTTGAAAATAATTGTGCAAAAAATAATAATAAAATGGTTGTAGTCCCACCATTTAATTACTACTGTTTGGTATGTTTCTTGATTCATGTAAGATTACTTTGTTAGAAACATTCATGCCATGCATAGATAGCTATTTATTTATTTTTGTTTTAATAGTTACTCTTTTTCCTCCACATCGTTAACCATTCTTTAAAAAGATGGTTTTTCATGGCCGTATGCATAATAGCCCATTGTTTGCAAGGCCTGTGAAGTATTTCACCACTCTCCTTTAGTGGGAGTGAAGTTAATAATTAGTAAGTCCAGGCTTTTGCTGTTACAGATAAATCTTTGGTGTTGTTATTTCCTTACCTGTTAAATAGGATACATTTCTGAAAGTGGAATTACCAGGGTAGGATAAGAACAGTTTTAACACTTTTTATTACAGTGTGTCAGATTTCACTGCAGAAAGATGGTATCAAAATTGTTGGTTTAGGTTTTCACTCAATTGCATTTAGGCCTTTTCACTATTTTCTGTTTCATCAGTAAGTATGGAGAATTTTAAAGCCATATTCTTAATTTACTCACTAGTTTTAAGACCGTGGCTCAAATTAAGATGACTACCACGAGTCATTTTTAGAATTGAATGAGACCTTAAATGTCATGCGTATATTAATAATTAAAGAAAAAATAACATATAGCTTATAAATTCTCAGCTTTCTCCAGGGAATTTTTATGTTTCTAGGCAGCAGGCTGTTTGTTTACTTATTTTTTAGTTGGTTTACATGTTCTTCCCTGAAAGGTTTTTTTAAAAATAAATTACTTGTAAATTAGATGGAAAACAAAAAGCAAATCAAGATTGAATATACGTTTTAGATCTGGAAAGATAGCTTAGAGAACTGGTTCTTTTTTGTTCCATGACTTATAGTTTAAAATAAATTTTATAGGCCAATGTTACTTTATAAATTACCAGTATTAATTGATTTGAGCAGCTTGCCAGAGTCACTAAAAAGAATGTGAGAAACGAACTTGGGTAATTGTTGAAATCATGTGTGTGTGCTCTGTTCTTGGAGGCCAAGTTTGGTATAGGCATGTTTGTATTTAGCTTATTCCTTTAATTAGAACCATGCTTCATCCTGCTGTTTTTATAAAATTTTTGGAGAATTTTGAAGAGTCAGTGTTCCACTAGGTACACCCAAGGTTTTCATTCAGAACAAGGTGTCTGGTGATTTGGAGTTGTAGAATGAAGCTATCAGCGAGTCATAATTAATAAGATCTTTGAAGTTTAATCTGGTAGGTATCTTAGGGTTAATCAGTAGTTTGGGGGGGATACTCAGCCATAGAAGAAATTCAGCCTGGGTGTGTGGGCAGGGGATATTTTGTTAAGCCCAGGCATATTACAGAATAAAACACAAAATTATAGGAAGTTTTAGGACAAGCCATTTGATGTCAAGGACATGTTGTGTTTACCACTTGCAGTCCCGGGCCAACCCTGGCCCTCAAAGGAGCTAAGATCACTTGCCTTTGTTTTTAGGTTCACTCAGTGGAGGAAAGAGAGCTCTGATAGAGTCTAGCCTTTCCTACTACAGATGGAGAAGTGAGGCCCAGAGAGGTTAAGGATCCTGCCCATGTTACACAGGAAGTTACCTTGCATAATGGGGAACTACAACCAAGTCCCCTCATCCCTAGTCTAGTGATACTGTTTGGCAGGTGTATCTTACAATTTAAGTGCCGTATTCTACATATACCCAAACAGTGTTGCGTATGAGGGTTTTCAGTGACACTCATTGGATTAGAAAGTACCTCAGCATTGGCTCATTGCTTATGGAGAAAATGATCTCTGAAAGACCAGCCTTGTCTTTTCAGTAAAGCTGGGCACTCAGAGCTAGCTGTGTCTCGTGGAAGGCTGGTTGACTGCTTCTGCATACAGGAGCCCAGCTTAAGTGCCAGGGGCCTGTAGGGCAAGGAGGTGGTGGTGATGTATAGTTATGTGATTTTAGTCCAGGGCCACAGCATCACAACAGGAGGGTGTCTCCTGGAAGAGATACTGGCACTGAGGGCAGCATAATATACATAATTACACTGTTCTCTACCAGCCATTTTTATGTCCGCTGACAACAACTAGCATAAAGTGTAAATGGTGCCCACTTAATACTTACTGAATTAAACTTATTCATAAAGTGTGTGGTAGGGTGTGCATATGTGTTCATGTATACAGACACATACATGCTGACTTTTCATGCTGGTGCTCTGTTTTATGGGAGGAAAATCATGAAAAAATAGAGCTAAACTAGCCAAGTTCTTCTGTTAACGTAAAATTCACCTGCAAAAGGACAGTTTGCTCTAGTATTTTTGTTTAAATGCTTGCTGGTGTCACCTCCTCGATATAGCCCATGTATGAGGTCATTATTCGGAAGATGAAATGTTGTTACAGAACAGATGTCCTGAGAAAAGATGATCGGTCATGTGGTATGCTGCAGAGCTTGCAGTCCCATTAATAATGCTAAGATAGAATTTCTTCATACAGCATATCCGCGGAATTAACCTGAAACTGGGACTGCAGACAATTTGGAAAAAAATGTGGTCTCGTGCTGCGGTTGCATAAATGAAGAATGATCTTGAAGTTTTAGAGTAGGACCTAGAATTCAACATTTTTTGAATTTATGTGGCTGAACGGAAGGAACCTTTGCTCACACACAGCTTATAGAAAGTGCAATGTGCAAATGAGTTGAAGCTGACAAGAAGCAGGGGTGGTGCACAGTGTGACCAGTACTGGTATTGTGATGTCCGAGCATCATGTGAAGCTGAGCACAGTGGTGAAGAAGGAGGAGTCCCTGCAAAAGGCTGCTTTGGTCTTTGACCCAGTGATTCAGTTCTTACAAAAGGGGTCCCCGTAGTGTTGCACATGCCTTCCTACTCATACAAGGAAATTTGGTTAAAATTGCCTTACAGATTCAGAGTGGTAAATACGACTCTCATTAAAGAATAAGGGAGAAAGAGAACTAATAGGTGTTAAGCCCTTGAGTCCCGCCTACTAAGCATGGAACATGCACTGCCTTACTTTGTCTTCACAGCAGTTCTAAGATGATGTAGCCTTTTTTAAAAAAAATCATTATCTTCCAAGCATACCAGCACTGGGGCTTAGAGCTTACAGAGCTTTTCCCCAGATCATACCTGCAGTCTGCCTCTGCTTTCATATGTGCCTTCTGCACTAGACTGGGAGCTCCTGAGGGCAGTACCGTGCCTGTGTTTGCTCCCTGCCGTGAGCCCATCCCAGTTTCTTCTGGATCAGCTCTGGAGTGTTCTGAGCTCCTGCACACATCACCTTGGAAGTGGACCTGTACGCTAAGTGGGCCCATGGTGAACACACTGATGTGTGCTGCAACTTCCTGGTTGACCCCTACTCGTGCCTTCCTGAGAAGAAACATGCTAATGTATTGAACTCACCACAGCAGAGCCTGCCTTGACCGGGTTCACAGAAATCGTCAGTGATGCCACCGGTCGCAATCCCCACTCTAGTGTTTACAATGAAAATTTTCAGAACCAGCCAAAAACCTAAAAGTAAACACGACCACCTACAATAGTTGTTAACGGGCCGGGCGAGGTGGCTCATGCCTGTAATCCTAGCACTCTGGGGGGCCAAGGCGGGCGGATCGTTTGAGCTCAGGAGTTCAAGACCAGCCTGAGCAAGAGCAAGACCCCGTCTCTTACGAAAAATAGAAACAAATTAGCTGGCCAACTAAAAATATATAGAAAAAATTAGCTGGGCATGGTGGCACATACCTGTAGTCCCAGTTACTTGGGAGGCTGAGGTGAAGGATCGCTTGAGCCTAGGAGTTTGAGGTTGCTGTGAGCTAGGATGACACCACGGCACTCTAGCCCAGGCAACAGAGTGAGACTCTGTCTCAAAAAAAAAAAAAATTGTTAACGCTTTGCCAAATTTCCTTTCCCCTCCCCTCTTCTCCCTCTCTCCTTCTTTTCACACAAAGATACATTTTTAAATTTTTTGTCTAAACCTAAAATTTCAGAGTGGTATTTTACACTCTGAACCTACGGTGACATAATCTGGGGATCTGAATTCTAATTGCTTCTTTTTTATGCCTTCTTTTCAAAGCAAATTGCAGATGTATTTTTATCTCTTTAGTCTCTTTTAATCCAGATAGTCTCTGGACCTCTGTCACTTGGCTTTTTAAAAAAATATTTTATTTTCCCTTGTTTACCAGAACAAGTCTTGATTTGATTCCTGACTACACCATTTAAACTGAGGTGTAATCATTTGTGGAATTTAAAGTCCACATGTATAGGATTTGCCTGTGAATACTTGAAATTACAGATCATTTCTGCTGTTGCTTCACTTTTCACACCCCGTTTCTGTTGAGAATGCCTCAGTTAATAAACATTGCTACTCCACTCGGCAATATTTGATGATACATAAGAAGACTGAACTTTCTCATCATTTTTTATTGTGCCTCGCCACATCCACGGTGGGAGTGTGATAATGACATTATGAGAACCCTTACGTATTAAAGTCTCACTATTGATAGGATGTGAATAGAATTTGGTATTTCGTATGAAATCTGAATAGTGTAATTTGAGGCAGAGCAATGCGCCTGTGAAACTGTAGAGCTAGGAAGTAACTTGGTCTGTGGAAGGAGGGTTCGCAGCAGGGGAATGCTTTTGCTAAAATGATTTTGAATTTTCAGATAATCTGAATTAAACACATGAGATTGTAATTTTTTCATGTATGTCTGTGATGTTGTTATACAACAGTCAGTTTTAATCAAAACATAAATATTTAAGTCATGATTTCTCCTTTTCAATTTTTCTTGTCTAGAAGGAGCTAGCAAACAGCCCTGACTGTCCTCAGATGTGTGCCTATAAGCTGGTGACCATCAAATTCAAGTGGTGGGGACTGCAGAGCAAAGTAGAAAACTTCATTCAGAAGGTAATCTCTATTCAAAATGTGTGACTTAAATTTAGGGTAACATTTGGGCTAGTTACTAGTGGGATTTTTTTTTTCTCCTTTATGAGATGCAAATTATTGTCCCTGCATAATTCATTTCTCCCCTTCTTTTTATCCCTAGAAACAGCAAGGACAGATGCCACCAGATGTTTTAAAGGGCTTTCTTTGGAAAAGAGCACAGCACTTTTTTGTTCAAAGTGCTTTCCTTGTGGTTTGCCCAGCACTTCTATAGAGAGCCCTTTCCACGTACAGCATGTCACCAAGGGGACCTGGCATTCTGGCCCTGGCTTTAAGGGGAGGGCAGGCCCAGCCTGCTGAGGGGCTCCTCCGCCCCGGCTCAGCTGGACACCTCCACCCCCAGTGTCTCTCATGATACATACACCTTGTGCTTTCGTAGGAAATGTCTCCTTTAGAGGTCCTCAGTGAGAGTAGGTACACTCTGAACTGAGGTGACACAATCTGAGGATCCAGATTCTAATTGCTTCTTTCTTGTGTGATCTTTATTAAAGTGAAAGTAACGCGGACAGTTAGATCTAGGAAGGGGGAGAATTGCAGTTGTATAAATACACATGGTTATTAATACACAGGGAATGTGGAAAATTTCCTTGGTATTTTCCTGTAGTGTGAATATTTGTTTCATTATTATTGTAAAGAACCCCCATCATACCTCAGATTCCCACAACTAGTTCTATCTGTTTCACCATAACCTTTCTACTTTTAAACTGGAGCTGCTGTAACATTTTAAGAGAAAAGGGTCTTAAAGTGCTGGAAACTTTGATGATTCATGGGCCTGCTTGCAGTTGGCCCACAGTAGGCACTCTGTAAATATTGGCTTCCTTCCTTCCTCTTGGATCATAATAACAGATTAACAATCCAGTTTTAATAAATAGAACTCACACGTGTAATTGATGCAAGTCCCTTCTGCTCATGGAAAAAAATTAAAAAGTTGAAGCTTGTCCACAAGTACTTACTGTTACGTGCATTTTTCTCTCTTGGGAAAGTTGAGTAAAACTTAAATAATTCAGCAATTAAAACCACTAATTACACAGGTGGTTTTATATATATAGTAGCAGTAACATGCAGTGTAGAAAAGCTAATGGAGAGTATGTAATGATTCTTAATAAAACATCTTAATTCCAAAGAACCCAGGACTCTCTTCTTTAGGTACTTCACAGTATTCCTTTGAATTGCAGGGAGGTTAAGAATGTATAGTTTTGTAGCAGAAGAAATCTAGTTAACCTTTGCTCATTGACATTTAGGGAAAGGTAAAAATAAATCTGACCCAGCCAGGAGTATGTTGGATCAGATCATACACACCACGTTTTTTTTTTTTTAGTTTCTACTAGATCATGACACCTTTGCCAGGGGAGATTATTTTCCATTTCACAGGGAAACTTTTCTTTTTATTTTGCTGTACAAAATGATAATAGGATGGAATTAAGATTTTCGCTAATCTATGTAGTGGTCTTTTTAACCTAAGCACGTGTAAATTTCATAGGTTAATCGGGACATGTAAAGTTAATGTGTCATTAATCTTAGGTTTTTGCCATCTTAAACTGCTTTTTTTCGTTTGTTTTAACAGCAGGAAAAAAGGATATTTACAAACTTTCATCGCCAGCTTTTTTGTTGGATTGACAAGTGGATCGATCTGACAATGGAAGACATTAGGAGGATGGAAGATGAGACTCAGAAAGAATTAGAAACAGTAAGACTTTCTGCTTTATGGTAGTTCTCTAATTTCCCCTTTTCTTAAACTGTGTACAAGCTTAGTTAAGTGTAGAGTTAAAATTAGGAAGAGTGTTATTCAAAGTTTTGCCTTAATCTGTTTATTCCCCCTCAAAATGGAGTTTCTTAAACACTGATAATCCTTCGCATGTTCTGATTTCTCTTTCGTTGAGCATCCTTCATGAAGGTAGACTAGAGCTTCCTTGATCTAGAATTCGTTGCCTGTAAAATATCCGGTGGTTTTGTATTCCTTCTCATGCATTAGTTCTCTGAGCTGGTACCTGGTTCACACTAGAGCAAGTTGCCTTTGGCTCAGTTTGTGTCACAGCAAGTTACAGATGTTAGCACAGTAAGTCCTAGCTCCCTCTTCTGTAGAAAAGGTAAGGGTAGTGGTACTGTCACAGATTCCTCAAATGCCTCCTTCCCTTCCCCAACTAGCAGTGGATCCTTATTTCTTCATAAGCTCTAGGCAGAGTCAGGAGGTCAGCATGTCATGTGTCAGTGTTAAAGGCCACCCCAGCTCTTCCCCGCCACCAGTGAACAGGCCTGGCAGCTGGTGGGCGTCTCCTCTCTCCCAGGGATGGATTCTTCTTTGGCTTCTTCTGACATGTATCTGGTTTTGTTTTTGCCTGGACCACGCATGTCTTCAGTTGGCAGTAAGGCCCCACAGGGGAAACGAACCCAAGGAATGTCCAGGGCCTGCTGGTGGTTTCCATGCAGTCATCTCAAGCCCTGCCAGCAGGCCCGGTTTTGGAAGCACTGCAGGTGTGATTATTTGACGAATGCCTGTGTGTGAGGCAGGAACTCCATTTAATCACAGGAGAATGGCAGCAAATCAGGTTCTTTGGCACAGAAGGAAATCTGTTTCTTTGGCACATAGCATCGTTTGAATCTGTGTTTAAAATTGCTTACTTTTGGTGATTACAGCAGATCTGCTTCTAATTAGCTTTATACAAACCTTCTGAGAGGACTAGGACATATTTTCTTTATAAGGCAATAAAATGTTTTAACCTTATCTTGTACATAAAGTAAACTATAGACAGACTCCAACTTATGAATGGATTTTGTTCCAGAAATTAAATTGATTGTTAGAAATTTGAAACATATTTTCCCATAGAGACAACATTATAAATTGGGGTTTGGTTTCTAGATTAGCCAATGGAAGCCTCTTTGGCCCCAGTTTCTCATACTAATAGCAAGACTCTGAGTTCTGGAAATTGGGAGTAGGGTGGTAAAATACAAAATAGCAGGGGTGGAAGGTGCTTCCTCACCCCCTTATTTTTTAGCCTGGCCACAGCCAAAATATTTAAACAGGTAAGAGTAGGTCATGGGTACTTCCTACTTTTCATGCCTCTCTCCCTTCTGTTTTTTCTTTCTCAAGAGTCAAGTGTTCTTTTCTGACTCTAACAAGCACCCCCATCAGCACCCCCACTCCACCTTACTCGGTTTTAGTCCCTTTTCCCTTGCCTTGCCTGGTTTTGCTCCCTCCAGTGGCTCCAGGCTCTAGAGATACCTGCTAGCTCTGCTTCTGGTGCCTCCGAGCAGCTGGTGTCTGCTGAATGTGGAAAAGAAGCAACACGATTACACTCATTCACACTAAGTTCATGATACAGCGCTGGCATTTCCAACAAGGATTTACCAACACCAAGAGAAAACATTTATTTTTGTTGTTTGAAACTCTCAGGAAAGAGCCTTTCTCTCAGTTTAATTTTTGTGCTGAGAAAGTGACATCACACAAGGAAGAGCCAATACCATGGACTGGGTGATGAATGAAGCCCTCCCTGGCTTGGGCCCTTGCACAGAACTTGACTGAGACCTCTTCTTCCAGGGGAGTGCTCTTGCTTCCCTCGCAAGTTCTCAGCCTCATGGTACCTGAACACAGAGTGGTCCCAGTGTCAACAGGATGAGACCCTTTGTCGTGGAGCTGGTGACTCGCACCCGTCTACGGCAGTGGGTCTGCAGGCTCAGCCTCTTCTCCAGCATGTCAGTCATTTGAGAGTGGGGAATTGCACCCAGGAAGGTGTAAGATAGACAGGTAATTACATAGAAGCCCAATTTATTAGACAGTATTATCATTCTTATACCCACATGGCATGAAGTTGGTAGAAATCTGTCACTGGTTCAAGGTGGAGAGACATAGCGGTTTCTTGGTTAAATATTTCAAAAACATTTTAAGACAGATTTCAGCATTAAGAGCTGATTATCTTAATCTAAGTCCTTTTTACTGTAGGTCATTGGGGTTTGCTTCATTCCCCGTGGCAGTGCTGCTGCCCTGAGTCCTGACAGCTGCATCTGGGCAGCACTGTGCCTGCAGGCCCAGAACCCCCACCCGGAAAGCACCCGCCTCCTGAGGAGGCTTCACGTTTGAAAGTCCTCTTCACCACTCAGAAATTTCCCCTTTTCTTGAGGTCCTGACACCTGATGATAGAATTTGATACGTTGTAATGCTCTTAATTTACGAATATTTTAAGAATTGGATTTCTTTCAAATGCATTTTGGCCCTGGAGAGAAGAACTAGTATCTTGTGAGGTTAGGCACGAGAGGAACGCCCCTGCCTGTAATCCTGCAGGGAGCTCTTGGAGTTAGGTTTGGCAGCTGAAGGAGTACTTTGGGTAAACCTTATACCTGTTTGTTCTCAACTGGCACTTCTAGGGGTGGAGAGTGAGAGTATATGTTGAGTTTTGGAAATGTATTTATTGCATTTGTTTGTTTTCTGTGCATTTATTTTTTGATTTTTCTCGTTGAGTTTTTTTGGTCCATGGCCTGTTACTATGAATGCCTGTCCTTTCTGGTGCATCCTTATGTCCTGCATTGTTTGCCATATGTTATTTCTGTGCTTACTCGCTCTTCCTTTCATTCTTCCTCTTTTCAGTAAACTTCCTTCAAAGAACTCCACTCAGCGACTCTGGTCTCAGAAGTAGCCAGAGGTGGCCACACCGTCATGGCTTTCTGTCTGGTCTATGGACTGTGAAAATAAAGACCAGACCATTGTGGCATTTTCTCACATTGTATTGGCAAACAGTTTATTTACCCATTGGCTATCTTTGACAATTAAATATTACCAGTCTGCGAGCTTTTCTACATTTAAGAATACATATACATTTTTTGTGCTTGTGCAAAAATAGCCTTTTGCAAGATTGTCTTTAAACCAAGATTACTAGAGGGGCTTCAGAACTTCTTTCTTAATGTAGATAATGGTTATAAACAGGCAGCCACGACTTCATAATCTCTTCTAGATCTTTTTTCTCCCCTTGCTTACTAACCCCTTATTTAGAGTCTGATTTCAGCAGCTCACAATTTTATTTTACATTTAGATGCGTAAGAAGGGTTCCGTTCGAGGCACGTCGGCTGCTGATGTCTAGATGAGTCCCCTGTAGGGTCAGAGACAATATGAAACTGTGTAAGTGAAGACCTGGGTAAAAAGACGTTTAAAAACCTATACCTTTTCGGTGATGGGTAACTTTCTAAGTTAACTTTCTAATCAGAGGCTCTAACTGTTAAATGTGGTTTTATTTTTAGGATTTAAAAGATAAATATTTTAGAAATTGACAGTGAACCACTTGAGTTATTCTTTAAGAATTTTATCTGTGGAACAGGTTTAATTTAGTAATCCCAGGCCAGTTGTTAGTGTTACGGGTTAGAGCCCAGCTGTTAAATGTGCATGTGCATCACATAGCATTGTCCTAGAAGCTGGCTGATCTGTTGATAGCCAGGTAATTGACCTGTTTCTCAGTAGAACCATTTGTGGTTAGTAAGGAAATATGTAAAAGCATTTTAAATCAAACAAAGATTCTTCATTCCATATCATAAGGACAAACGTCAATAATTCATTTTAGTTGAAATTTTTTCTGTGCACCAGAAAGTCTTCCTTCATGTTTAATCTTCAATTATCTTTATAGTTAGCTTTACTCTGTGTAAATTCACTGTGGTTTTAATTGACGGTGTAAAACATTTCAGTGGTCTTACTTCTCTAAGACAAATTTATATGCCCAGATAACAGATTTTCCAGGGGTTGGGGAGGAGAGCATCAGAATCTACCCCACACACTGAAACCAGTATGAGTAAACAAATATCAACAGTGTACTGTCGCCATTTGTTGATATGGAACTACAGTGTTTGTCGAGGAAAAGAACAAGACGTACCACTCCTGTCCCTCCACTGTGGTTCTTTGCTGCCCCCTTACATGAGCTCCCTGCTCTTTAATTATCGAACACGAAAGGATAAAAAGTGTTCTGTTGTGATCAAAAAGTAGTTGTACGAAATAAGAGCGAAGTAACTGTTCCAAGATTCCCCCAAAGCTCTTCGTTTAAATTCAATGTTCATTAAAAATTTTTTTTTATTTTTACTTTTGTTAATTTCTCTTAAGTTTCTACGATTTATTTTGTGATTCTGCTTCTAATTTATTTTTCCCTCCAATGAAACAAAATGTGACGCCATTATTAGTGAGACTAAAATCTCTTTAAATAGATTAAGTTTTTAAAGATGCAGTGGTTGGCGTATATTTTATGCCGGCAGTATTGCTACGTTGAGAATTTTTTATGGAGAATGTGTGTGACAGGCTGTCTCACCTTTTCTGTGTCTTCCTGTATTTTAACACATTTTGCATTTTCACTTTTCTTACAGTTACGTAATCAAGGTCAAGTGAGGGGAACAAGTGCAGCCAGTGATGAGTGAAGAAGAATCTGACCAGTCTCTTACAGTGTTGAAGTTTCCCAGCGTCTGCTTGTGATGATATACACACATGCACAGGTTCCCAGCCACATGTGTGTACATGTGTACATCTATAGCTGTATATAAAACGCACGGAGAGCTACAGATCCAGATACACGTTTGTGTATATATGTACATACAAACATACTGAAGGGATTAGTACAATTTCTCCAAAGTACTGTACCTATCTTCAGCAAGAATGCAAAAGAAAATATTTTCAATATATATACCTGGAACAGATTTTAATAAGTATCAGAGTAATACCATTAATGGACAAATTTGACTGCATTGTAATACTAGCTGGTATGTTTCATAAATGTCAAACTGTGGACCAATATATATAGCCTTTTGTTATTTTTCTGTTCTTTTAAATCAGTCTCTTATAAATTTTTATTTTAGTCCCATAAGCAGCAGACTCCCACAGAAAAATTTCTTCAAAATTTTTTGGTATTCCAGTGAATCTGGAATGTAAACTCAGAATGTATTTATAATTATTTATTTCTGGACGGTTATTATCTTGTAGCCAAATTTGACAATATCTATTAAGTAAGGAGTAAAGTTACAGGCCAGTTTTTACTTATTTGCCCTGAGGGAAAAATCCTTTTAAAAAAAATTTGTGTTTTTTATTGGATTTTTGTATTTTAAATTTCAAATATTTTTCTATATCAAACCTAGCAAAAATGGAGATGACGGTTTGTGATTTATAGTAAACACTAGACAATTTTCAGGCTCCTATTAGACAAATTGATGAAGAAATTAATAATATTGTAGGCTATGTAGAAAAATTGAAAGTATGGCACTTCCGTGGAGTCTCGTTTTGGAAATGATTTTTCTGGATTAACAGTTTGGAAACTATGCAAATGGTCTAGGTTCCTCACAGCTCACACGATACAATGTAGATAGTGATGACATTTTGCTCTTTTCATGTTAAAATGCGCTTCAAGGAGGAGATGCTGCCTTTGAGATAGAAGTTTGAGACACAGCGTGAGTCTTGCCTGCGCACGATTAGGGGGCCCTGCCAAGGGGCCCAGTGGAGCTGACTCTGGGACACACTCCCGAGTAGGATGTCATCAGAACGTATCCTGACTTCCTGAATGGGCATCATGAGGATGCTGGTTAGAAGCCGCTGCCACCTTTTTTTTTTTTTTTAAAGAACAATAGCTAGGTAAGATTTTTATAAGCTTTCTCTGTCCGAATCCAGTTTTTCTCCTGTCAGTCCTGGAAGCTTGAATAGAATCATTGTTGAAGCGTTCAGGTCACAAACTGTCTTTTTTAACCTCCCGTCCCTCCTAAAACACGCCAACCCCTGCAGTCAGATCACATTAGTGATCTGATTTGCCGACAGTCCTGCCCTCCCTGCCCCTCATTTTCCCACATGTCCCGTGTCCCCACTGGAGCGACTGCAGCGAATCAGACGAGGAAGGATGTTTGGGATCACTGCTGCATTGCGATACCCTGTTATCCTCAGCAGCAAATCCCACATTTCCTACATCCTTTGTGTACTCAGGATGAAGACTGATGTTTACTCTCTGGGCACTGTCGTAAGATAGGTTTTGCTAGAGCATAACCATTGTCTGCAAAGCGTTTGGTGCGAGGAAGATTATTGCTAATTTTGTGAAATAAAGAGTCTAGCCCTCTCTTTTTAATGAACTTAACTCTCACTGGCATCTGTAGTATCGTTGGGAGCTTGGGCACACATGGAAATGAGAGCCCGGCGCATGGATTTTAATGTTTTTCTAACAACTGTGGAGATTTGAGGGAATGTGTGGTGAATGTAAAATACCTAGTTTACTTGGCAGTCTCTTGTGTAAATTACAGTAAAACAAAGTAAATGAAATTTAAACAAAAAATAAATTTGATCACAAAATGCCACTTGTGTGCTTGAGTGGTTGTTTCCCTGATGCCTGTTCTGGTTTGGAACACCGCAGACCACTTCTCCGCTAGTGTTTCAAGAATCCTCTAAATTACAGCACTACCTACCACTCTGGGAAAAACAAAGAAAAACATTTTTTATTTTTTATTGGCAACTCTTATTCTTGAAATGCACCTATACCACACTAAGTTGTTATGTTTGGTCTCTTAAATAATTTTCTGTCTTAGCTTAGCAATAAACTAAAGAAGAATTACATATTATTAGTCTCAGATTTTCAAAAATTAATTTTAAAAGGAAAAATAGGGAAACCCATAGTATTTTTAAAACACTCAATGAGGATTTTGCCATCATATTCTGATTGTTTAAAGATTGTGGCTTTGTGGTTTGGGGCTACTTCTTACCTCTCCTCCTGTAGGACTGTGTCATTTATGGTCAACTGTTTTTTGTACCTGTAACAACTGTATCATGGTTCCAGCTGACGTTCTAGGGCTGCTTAACATTAGGAGAGAGAGCCAGTTGTGTGGATGGATTTAATATGTAATATTTTACGTTTGGGCGTTTTTTGGTTTTCTGAGGTAAGTTTCTTAATGTTCTATTTCAGACATAATGTTTGCATTTGTGGTGACTGTCATTCATGCATTTAGCCATCTGAGCATGCGGCACCCGGGTCTTGCTAGAGGGACCAAGATGAATGAAGGTAGTGCACATCCCAGTGTGGAACACAGACATGTAAACTGAGAAATTACAAGGCAGTGTGATAGTCATCTAAGAGTAGAGAGTTGTTTGAGAGGGATCTTAGACACCATCTTCATTGTGTAGATGAGAAAGCAAAAGTCACCAAAGGCAGCTGGGCATCTGGGTCCCAAGGAGCGCAGGGCGCCAGCTCTCGGGCAGGGTCAGGCACACCTGGGGACCCTCCTGGTTCCTGGCTGAGTCTTGCATTCCTTGCCCGTCGGTGGAGGCCATAACGCTCAGCTGGAAGGGTTGGGGTCAGTTGAGTCATCGTGTTCTCCAGCACATGGGCGGTCCCCTTTAGGGCCTGTTCCATTCATTTACCAAACTGCCTCTTAGTTGATGTAAAATCACCTGAATCTCCTGCACTTAAGGACCTAACACCTGGCTTTAGAAGTTTACCTTTCTGTCCCTTCTTCAACTTGCTGCACTGTAAAGTTTCAAGGCCCAGCTTTCTCCATGAATCTTGTCTCTGAGGAAGTAAGAGACATTTGTTGACATTTGTTTTGTACATCTCTCAGCAGCTTAGTTGACAAGGGTGCAGTGTGTGATTCCCTGTTCTTGTTCATTTGGAAAGAGAGTGTTCTGACTTTGTTCTTAGACCCTCAAATTTGATCTCATAAGAGCCACAGAATGTTATGGGATGGAGTTTACTGGATCCAAAACAGATTTTTTTTTCAAGTTACACTCACTGCCAATTTTAGAGTTTGGGACTTTGCGTGATTGGGAGGGAAGGAGAGTGCTAGAGAACAGGTTAAAGGTTGTCCTGCTGAGCTTGGAGCATCTCCTGCCAACCGAGAGTGCGTCTCAGGATCCCTGCTGGTGACATTTGGGGTTATGCTTTCTCATTTGGAAATGTTAAGCAACAGCAGGTCCCTTCAAAACCAGTTCTTCAACTGGATTGCATTGGGAAAAGTAGAAATTGCAGATATTCTAAAGCTGCCTTGCACAGAAGTTCCAGGCCAACCTAACTGTTCAAAACAGTGCTCGGCAGTCCGGGACACCTGACGCTTTGATGTCCGTCCCTTCCACCTGAAAGTGCCCAGTGGCAAGGCATCTTTATTGTTTTAAAATGACTTCGAAACAAACGTTTGTTTCCCTCACTCCTTCAAGATCACTTCTGTCCCCAGAGGGTCTTGTAATCTCATCTGAGGAAGCACTACTTCATGACTTCTTTATTATACATTTACATTTTTCTCTTCTGTTTAGTTACATCGTGAATTAAAACTTGTCCCTGGCTGGGCACAGTGGCTCACACCTGTAATCCTAGCACTCTGGGAGGCTGAGGCAGGAGGATTGCTTGAGCTCAGGAGTTCAAGACCAGCCTGAGCAAGAGCGAGACCCCATTTCTGCGAAAAATAGAAAAATTAGTCGGGTGTCGTCATATGCCTGTAGTCCCAGCTACTCGGGAGGCTGAGGCAGGAGGATCACTTGAGCCCAGGAGTTTGAGGTTGCTGTGAGCTAAGCTGATGCCACAGCACTCTACTTAGGGCAACAGAATGAGACTCTGTCTCAAAAAGGAAACCTGTCCCTGATGAGAAAAGAACGTTTCCTCCATTCCAGGATCTTCTCATTGTGCCCAGACTATGTCTTCAAGGACTCCCATCCCTTGAGTAAGGCTAGAGAGACTGGTTTGAAAAAATTCAACTCATGTAAACTAGTGTTCTCAGCCCTGGGTGCACATTATATTTACGTGGGGAAACTTCCAGTTGTCTTTCGATGGCTTGAGTTTGGTGTGCCCTCTTTTCAGGGGTGGGTAGAGAGCTGGGCGAGTCCCCATTCTCTCTTCCTGGAAGATCATTGAGATGACTGCCTCCTCTCTGGGTAATCAGATTCCCACCCATTCTTCAAAGCCCTGGGGCCAAGTGCCACTTCCTCCAGGAAGCCTTCCTTAACTTGTAGTGACTCCCTCTGCAGTGGTTTCACACCCTCATTTGGCTCTTACAAGACTCTATGCCTTGGTAGATGTCATCTTTAAATCTCTGTATGTTTGGTGGCCCATGTTAGTTTGGGAACTCCTTGGGAGTAGGTGCCATAGTTGAACCCCAAAGTCACTTCTTGCTGGAAACTGACTCTCAGATTGTTCCTTTTTTTACCCACAATAGATTGTTGCCTATCCCTTGCCAAGGTTCCTTTAGAGTCCTGGGGTTTGAGCAGAGGGGAGTGTATAACCAAAAAATCGGTAAGATCTACTTCTTCCCTAACTAGCTGCAACAGGATATAGTAATTGTGGTAGCTAATGGCACAAAATACGGTGAGAGAACAGAGGAGGGAGCTCCAAGTCTGCATTTTCCTCTTTGCTTTCCAGACACCTAAACTGGAGGTTTCAGAGACTCTTTAAAGGAGTCTAAAACAAAATTCTTCTTAGCCCTTACTCCTTCCCCAACATGTACTGTCTGTTCCTCCTGTCAGCTAACTCCACCACTGGCTGTGGTGCCCCAGCCAGAAATCCTAATTGGTCCCCTAGTCTCAAAAAGTGTCCCCAAATGCCTGCGAAATCCTGCCCCTCTTTTATGTCCTGGTCCAATCCATACCATGCTCTGATGGACCATCATCTAGGGCAGGAGTCCAGAAACCCTGCAAAAGCCTAAACAGTAAATATTTTAGGCTTTGTGGGCCATGTGGTCTATGACAGCTATTCAGTTCTGCATCTGTAATGCAAAAACCGTCATAGACAATACATAAATTGTCTGTTCCAATAAAACTTTATTTACACACACAGGCGGCTCAGTTTGACTAGTGAGACCATAACTTGTTTGCCAAGCCCTGGTGTAGGACATTGTATGGATAAGCTTACTCAGGCTCTGCCAGAGTTAACTTTCTAGACCATTCCTGGTAGTGCTATGCCCTGCTTAACCATGAGTGTCTCTCCCTGAGGCCCAAAAGCCCAGGGCAGCCAGAGCCAGTGTCCAGTGTGAGCCCCTTTTGCCATTAATAAAGTGGAGCCTGTGGCTGGTCAGTCACAGGTGGAAGGAATTGAGCTGATTTCTCGGCGGCCCTGAACACCCGTGTCGACCGTAGAAGTACTAATAGCTCCAAGCATCTGATTCCCAACCAACGGGAGCGGAAAGTTGAAGGCTGGAGCTATGATGTGTTGACAAAAGCCACTGATGTATGAAATACAATGAAGATGATTCTGGTGAGTTAAACCCTTCTCAATTGGCATATTTTATTTCTCTCTCTGTTGTCCAGAAAACACCATCGGTGGCTGTTAAACTGAATGCCATGCTCATGGAAAGGCCTGTAGATACTGTATACCTTTTCCACATGAAAACGGGACTCTCTAGATGCCACTGCCAACATGTTACCCTGGGCGTGGTGTCCTGGCTCCTGCTGGGGCACGCTAACACCAGGCCTTTGCCTAGAAAATCGACCCAGGGTTTCCCTGAGCCAGTGACACTTGACCTTGGGTTGAGTCTGTTTACTTCTTGGATTTCTGGGAAGCAGTAAAGCACCATGACATGCCTCCACCTTGTTGATCCCGTAGAAACTCTGACGCCACCTGCTCATCAGTCCATAGCAGAATTGCCTTGCACTCCAGACTGAGGGAGTTTCAGGAAGTGGAACGGAGGAGTGGCTTACAGTGTTTATTAATGTATGCGCTAAACAAAAGCTTCGCCTCTGGGCATCGCCTTGCAAACTAGGCTCCCTGCAGCCCAGAATACTGATGGTGTGTTCTCTCAGCACAGCCTCCACTTTCCCATGGCCCAGGAGGCCCTGAAGCAACTTGTCAGCCTACCAAGAGGTGCTGTGAGTGCTTCCAATCCAAGGTGTCCTGTAGCCCTCTCTCCCAGAGCGTCCTTCCAAGAGAGGCACAGTGTAGAACCAGAAACTTCTCCCAAGTGAGGCTGGAGGAGGCGTGAGGCGTAGGATCAGGCCCAGAACAGCGGTGCCTAGACATAACACAATCTGTTCATTCCTTTAAGTCAGGGGCCAGCAAACTTCCTGTAAAGGGCTGGGTAGTAAGTATTTTTGGCCTTGTGGGCCATGCAGTCTCTGTTGCAGCTACTCACCTCTGCCTTTCTAGTGGGAAAATAGCCAGAGACATTACATAAATGAATGGGCATGACTGTGTTTCAATAAAACTTTATTTATACAAACAGGCAGCAGGTTGGATTTGGCCCAAGGGCCATGGTTTGCCAACCCCTGCTTAAGATTCTTCCTATGGTCGTTCCTCCTAACATAAGAGATTGCATAAAAAAAAAAAGAAATACCAGCTGATACTTAATAGCGCCTACTACGCGTCAGGTCAGGCGCTACACAACAC